GTGTGGTGTCTATGTATACTAGGGGATGTGAGGGGTGTGGTGTCTGTTTATACTAGGGGATGTGAGGGGTGTGGTGTCTGTGTATACTAGGGGATGTGAGGGGTGTGGTGTCTATGTATACTAGGGGATGTGAGTGGTGTGGTGTCTATGTATACTAGGGGATGTGAGGGGTGTGGTGTCTGTGTGTACTAGTGGATGTGAGGGGTGTGGTGTCTATGTATACTAGTGGATGTGAGGGGTGTGGTGTCTATGTATACTAGGGGATGTGAGGGGTGTGGTGTCTATGTATACTAGTGGATGTGAGGGGTGTGGTGTCTGTGTGTACTAGTGGATGTTAGGGGTGTGGTGGCTATGTATACTAGTGGATGTGAGGGGTGTGGTGTCTGTTTATACTAGGGGATGTGAGGGGTGTGGTGTCTATGTATACTAGGGGATGTGAGGGGTGTGGTGTCTATGTGTACTAGTGGATGTGAGGGGTGTGGTGTCTGTGTGTACTAGTGGATGTGAGGGGTGTGGTGTCTGTGTGTACTAGGGGATGTGAGGGGTGTGGTGTCTGTGTGTACTAGTGGATGTGAGGGGTGTGGTGTCTGTGTAGACTAGTGGATGTGAGGGGTGTGGTGTCTGTTTGTACCAGTGGATGTGAGGGGTGTGGTGTCTGTGTTTATTTCTGTTCCAAACGATGCTTTTGTATGATGTACAATGTACATATTGATTGCTGCTAATTTTGAATATAAATTCCTTCCACTCTTTTCGCAAGTATATATAAAAACAGCTTTCGTCAGCAACATCTTGTCCAAGCCACACATTAGCAAATCCGAAGGAAAATAGCATAATTATATTAAAATTTAATAGAGAGAGAGAGAGTATTGTTTATTAAAGTGTCACATGTTATATACACTTCGTGATAGGATATATACAAAACAGTAAAATATAACATCCGGCCAAATATGGCCTACGAGACATTTTAATCCCAGTTATGCCTACCGTTATCATCAAGTTGTTTTAATAATTTATAACATTGATGGGGATAGCTTTTTGATTCCATTTATAATAATTTTTTAACCAAATGAATACATAAGTTCTCTAATTTGAACGGTCTCACCCAATACTTTCCAGCACTAAGGGATTTTTAAAAAATATGGTGTATTGACTTTTTCGAAATCATCAAACTATTTAATTCCCCCAATTTCCGTTCCATGCAAAAAAACATGAAGCAATTTTGCATTCCAAAATAGTACACGTTGGTGGAAAGATAATAAATATATTTTGCTTAATTAATGCATTAATAGGCATAATTGCTGTAGAACATCGACACGCTAGTGAATCTTGAAGAAAACTTTAATCCCAAATGTTTATAATAAGTAACAGATTCTAATTTGGAACCATACAATGCCCATTTTTCATAAAATACGACCATTTCTAAAAACGATAACTTGTTTAAAATTACCATGAGTCCTCATTTAATAACAATGTTCTAATCTATATAATTGTGTTTTTAAACCGGAAACAATTTTATAATTCAACAAAACAATATCAATCAATTTTTATTGCTAAATACCGAGATGGCCATAGGTCTATAGTACATGCATACAAAGTAGTTAGGGTACATTTTTACAATACAACATACATCAATAGCCATGGAAACTGTTAAATTACATCAAGCTGTTGAGTATGTGCATGCTTTCTAAGATTCATGGCATATAAAATTGACATTGACAAATATTTCATTGTGACAGTTATTTTTAGTCTTCATTGGTGAGTAAAATTTATACAAGTGATGATCCTTGAAAATATAATCATTAATAAATTGTTTTTTAATGTCAACATAGAATGGACAAACAAGTAAAAAGTGATATTCATTCTCTATTATTGAAAATACACAGTTGACAGATTCTGTCAGTAATTTTCCCAGGGTTGCTACTAGGTCCATGCGTTTTAATAGCTCCCAGAGTTTATCTCTGAACAGTCTATTACTTTCGCAAAATCTACAAATAAGACATAATTTGCCACCCTTTGTTGTTAGATATCTTTGTATAATTGACTGTAAAATACAAACGTTATCAATTGTGCGTCTAAATCCAGATTGTGCCTCGATGGCTTTTTCAAACGTGTCTGTCCAAATAACCAAACGTGTATCAATGATATGTGTGAACATTTTACTGAATACACTTGAAAGCACAATTCCTCTAAAGTTATTTGTATCAGTCACAGTTCCTTGTTTGTGAAGTGGAATAATAATGCAAAGTGACAAATTCTCAGGAAAGTAAGAATTTTCTAAAGAAGATCACTTCGAGATAAGAGACCAATATATCCGATGAAGTTTTGAAACATTCTGAAATAGTCATCCGCACCTGATGTCTTATTACCGTATTCGACGTAATAAGCGCCCCGCTCTAATAAGCGCCCACGGCAACATTTGCTAATATATTGGCTAGTGAACAATCCCAATTAGCACCCCTTCCGATTGATCAATGCTCACAAGACTTATTTATTCGCGTACAATACGCACTCGTGTGTCATATGCACCCTTAATTATGGGCAATTAAATTCTAGAAAAATATTTCTGTCATACATAAACATTTCAGGCTGTCAGCATAAACCACGAAATTTATCTTTCAACTCTGTTTTTTTTCACCAAAATAATATTCTAATAAGAGCCCCCTATTTCTAATTTTGAGAGCGCCCTGAGCGCTTATTACGTCGAATACGGTATTCTTTAAATGATGAATACTATCAGCAATTTCTTTCTTGGTAATTGGATAATAATTGTCTGTTGTCAACTCGTTAGAATGATTATCATCGAGAAATTAAACATCCCAAATTCATTGTCGTTTCTATCATAAGGATTAGAGAATAAATCGCATTGGCATTCACTAACATACCTTTGCTGATGTGATTTCCTTTTTTCAGTTATTTTTTTCATACACGAAGCAACAGTGCATTAAAGCATCTGTGATATGTCTAATGCTGTCATTATCAAATGCTGTGTCAACTCCCTTCTCCAGTACATCTTAGACAGTTTTAGGGAATAAGTTATCTCAAATTGATCAGCCTCATTGTCTACCAAAAAAACATTAGAATGAAGTGTTGCTGTTTGAAATGTCTGATTTATCATGAAGCGTGAAGCGTACGTAATTGTGACTGGAGGATGTGAAGACTCGGTGCGGGGGGGTCTTTTAAAACTTTCACATTTATCAACAAATCAGTTGAAGGGATTACCTGGTCAACCACATCGGTGCCCTGGTTTCCAATAAAGGTGAAATCTCCATTACCGATGTCTGTACCACATCTTCCATTCATATGTATATTCAAAACACTACACATTTAACAAACATTTGCCAAAGTTATTTATACCCGAATCTGCAGAACATCTTTTTAAGTTGAAATGATCATTTACAAAATGCCACATGTTATTATCATGGCTGTCAAAGTATACAAGAATGTCATCTACAAAATCTGGTTCTTCAAGTCTTCACCTACCATTATGTAAACATCGTTACCCTGAGAGAAGACATCTAGCAAATCATTCTGCAGGAGTATAATACCATCAGTGCGCTACCTTATTGGATCATAATACCAGGTTAGAGACTCTAGACGAATATACACACATACATATAATACATCTTTCTGAAAATTAAATAGTTTTTTGTCAAGAAGAACAAATATACCACTATCAATAAAAAAATTCATTTCACAAACTATCATTATCAAACAATAATAACATTATAGCCTCTTTTTCTTGAAATACAAATATTCCATGAGAACATTAAACATTAACATTAAACGTGAGGGGTGGAGTGACTATGTGTTTGTTCGGGGACGGATGGGTGGGGTGTCTTTGTTTATCCTGGGGGACGTGAGAGGTGGGGTGACTATGTTTATCCTCAGGGACGTGGGGTGGCTATGTTTATCCTCAGGGACGTGAGAGGTGGGGTGGCTATGTTTATCCTCAGGGACGTGAGAGGTGGGGTGGCTATGTTTATCCTCAGGGACGTGAGAGGTGGGGTGACTATGTTTATCCTCAGGGACGTGAGAGGTGGGGTGGCTATGTTTATCCTCAGGGACGTGAGAGGTGGGGTGAATATGTTTATCCCAGGAGACGTCAGGGGTGGAGTGGCTATGTTTATCCCAGGGGACGTCAGGGGTGGAGTGGCTATGTTTATCCCAGGGGACGTCAGGGGTGGAGCGGCTATGTTTATCCCAGGGGACGTCAGGGGTGGAGTGGCTATGTTTATCCCAGGGGACGTCAGGGGTGGAGTGGCTTTGTTTATCCGAGGAGACGTCAGGGGTGGAGTGGCTATGTTTATCCCAGGAGACGTCAGGGATGGAGCGGCTATGTTTATCCCAGGGGACGTCAGGGGTGGAGTGGCTATGTTTATCCTAGGGGACGTCAGGGGTGGAGTGGCTATGTTTATCCGAGGAGACGTCAGAGGTGGAGTGGCTATGTTTATCCCAGGAGACGTCAGGGGTGGAGTGGCTATGTTTATCCTAGGGGACGTCAGGGGTGGAGTGGCTATGTTTATCCCAGGAGACGTCAGGGATGGAGTGGCTATGTTTATCCCAGGAGACGTCAGGGGTGGAGTGGCTATGTTTATCCTAGGGGACGTCAGGGGTGGAGTGGCTATGTTTATCCCAGGAGACGTCAGGGGTGGAGTGGCTATGTTTATCCCAGGAGACGTCAGGGGTGGAGTGGCTATGTGTTTACTCGGGGACTGGGGGGGGGGGGGGGGGGGGGGGGTGGAGTGGCTATGTGTTTGCTCGGGGACTGAGGGGTGGAGTGGCTATGTGTTTGCTCGGGGACTGAGGGGTGGAGTGGCTATGTGTTTGCTCGGGGACGTCAGGGGTGGAGAGGCTATGTGTTTGCTCGGGGACTGAGGGGTGGAGTGGCTATGTGTTTGCTCGGGGACTGAGGGGTGGAGTGGCTATGTGTTTACTCGGGGACTGAGGGGTGGAGTGGCTATGTGTTTACTCGGGGACTGAGGGGTGGAGTGGCTATGTGTTTACTCGAGGACGTCAGGGGTGGAGTGGCTATGTGTTTGCTCGGGGACTGAGGGGTTCGACGACTGCGGTGAAATGCACTGTAGTCGCTTCATTTCGCTACAATCTCGAGTGGATGTTGTTTTACTATGACGTCTTCTCGTAAACGACTTCATAATAGCACGACGAAAGTTGACGCAGCAGATGCTGTAGATGATGGGGTTGGAAACGCTGTTGATGAAGTAGGATCTGAGTAATATGTTGTTTAAGGCGAGCTGGGCTGTGGGGAGATTGTCGAAGACGTTCTTAGTAAAGATGGCGGCAATAATGGTCCCAAAATGAGGCAGGAAACTTAGGACGAAAATGAGGCTGATGAGAAACATCATGACTGTTCTCTGTCGGACTGTATTCCTTTGTTGTTGCGTCATGGCCGACCGAGTTGAAAGCAGGTCGCTTTCAGAAGCTTTTCTCTTCCTTGTCAAATCTTTCCCACGCCCCACAACTTCACCATTGATTCCCAAGGTGGTCTGAGAAGGAATGCGTCCACTAGCTGATGACGTCCTGAATCGCCCGACATGAGACAGTTGGCACCATATTAAGGAATACACCACGACGACGGTGACTAACACCGCCATGAAGACAACAAGAACAACACCGTTGTAGATAAGAGGTACGAAGACCCCAGCCTTATCGGATATACTGCATAATGTACCATTAATACGCCCTTCATTCAGGGGTATGTTCCTTGGACCATATACAAACAAACAAGGAACAGACAGAATGCATGTCGCCACGCAACATAACCCGATGGACAATTTGGCCCCAGACGCTGTCATCTGTCTGTGTAAAGGGCGACACACCCTCCGGTATCTGTCAACAGTCATTGGTAACAGTATAATCGCCGACATCAGTGAAATAAGGTTATTTGTCACTGATTTGATGTAGCACAGACTATACGTTCCTATAGTGTATCGGTGCGACAAATGGAAGATGTCAAAAGGTATGTTTGTGACACAGTTGGCTAAATCAAGAACCGCTAAAGCCAAAATAAAGTTTGCGAAAGCGTTGGTTCTCTTGATCTTGACCAGATACACATAGCAGACCAGAGAGTTGCCGACAAATCCAACCAGCAATATGATGGCGAGAAACAAGATGGCTGGCATAGCTTTGATTGTGTAGTCATAGTTACGGCTGGTTAAATACTCGGGAGAGACGTCACCGGAGACGTTTGGAGACATTTCTGGATTCTGTTCAAAGGAATGGGAAAATTTTATCACATTGCATTTAATCAGCAGAAATCAAAGTACATACTGTCATATATCGCACACGTGTAATCCAGAAGTTAAAACAAATTGAAATTTGCATGTGGTGCCTTCAGAATCAGGAATGAGAATATGGCACATTTCGGTTCAAAATCAGTTGTGTAATATAAAAGTAGAAAGCAAACATGGTATGAAAACAAAACTTGTAATTTTTTTTCACAACAATGACTTCTTGAAAGATTTGTTTTTGTTTTCGAGGCGACTTACGGGATCGGGTGGTCAGGCTCGCTGACTTGGTTGATGCATGGCATCGTATCCCAATTACGTGGATCGATGCTCATGATATCAATCACTGGATTGTCTGGTCCAGACTCGATTATTAACAGACCGTCGTCATATAGCTGTAATATTGCTGAATGGGGCGTTAAACAACAAACAAACAAACAAATCAAGGAACATGGGATATTAAGTTGACACAACCATCGTGGTGCCCGTAATACTGTTATACATTGATCTACCTACAATGGTAAAGTAAATAGCTACACTGTTGTAATATTATTTTATGATGAAGTAGATTAGTAGAAACATGCAGATTAAAATTGAAACCCACAACGTTGTGAGTGTGTACTCTTTTCTGTTTAAAAAAATATGAACCATACTTCTCTATGATAATTATCTCCTTAATCCTAATATGTCTATTATGACAAGTCAATTATTCACACTGTCCAAAAGTGGTAATATCTCGCTACACGGAAATGGGTCAACGTTTCCCGCAAAGCGAAATGCTGTTGGCCTGTCCCCGGCCCTGTCGATGGGCAGACCTCGCTACACGGAAATGGGTCAACGTTTCCAACATAGCGATATGCTGTATGAGGAAATAGGTCGGCGAGAAACCAGTGCTTTCCTCTTATCATTGTGCCGAATAACGCAAACATGTTAAGTGTAATAACTTACAGTTAAGATATGTTTAAAATTAAAAAAAAATTTACGCTTATCATTATAAATATGAGACAAATATTCATTAAAAACAAAAACAAACTTGTTTACATCTTTTCAACTGTTACTTATCCCCATGTCGCTTTCTCAAACCCAAAACTAATAGAGTAGGGCGCCATAGGGCCATTTGTTTTTATATTTTCAAGATACTAAGTTGAAATTTCAAGATACTAAGTTGAATTTTCAACTTAGTATCTTGAAATTTCAAAATAGTATAAAAAAAACCCAACAAAAACAAATGGCCCTAAAAGGCTTCGGTAGGATCTTGAAATTTCAAGATTATTCACTTCGAACGTATTTTTACATCTTAAGATGTAAACTTATTATCTTGAAATTTCAACTTAGTATCTTGAAATTTCAAATTGATATCTTGAAATTTCAATTTTGTTAACTGAAATTCAACTTGATATCTTGAAATTTCAATTTTGTATCTTGAAATTTCAACTTCTGTATCTTGAAATGGATAGTATCTTGAAATTTCAACTTTCGTATCTTGAAATTTCAAGATAGTATCTTGCAGTTTCAACTTAATATCTTGAAATTTCAACTAAGTATCTTGAAATTGGCCAAATGGCCCTAAAAGGCTTCCGTAGTTTTATGATAATTCTATCCCTTTTAGCTATAATATAGGATGACGTCAAACAAGAAACGTGACGCCAATGACGTCACAAAGCAATAGAATAGATAGCAGCCCGTCGTTAGGGGGAAGCGGACAGCTATCAAATTACAGTTGGCCGCAGATTTCTGTTAACATGAGGGATTTTTTAGGAAAATTTCTATCCATTTTAGCTATAATATTTGCTTAAACATTCACATTTAGTAAATAATATATTCCAACGTTTACGTTTGAATTGAAGAGCTGCATTGGAAACATATGTACTGGTCCTGTCGTTTGTACCGGTTGTACGTTTTGACATGACATGTGCAATAAAGATACCATATAGTGTAAACTTTACGGCATAATAAATTCGTTATGGTGCCTATAGTGGTCGTATACGGAGTCATATTAGGGGAGCAGGAAAATATATTTCTGGTAACCTAATATGACTCCGTATACGACCACTCAAGGCACCGTAACCAATAACATACATACATACATACATATCTGCATTATGTGGTCAAACTAGAATTCACAATGGAATGATGACCTCGGATACAAGAACCTTTTTCTTGTCTCTGTCGGGGCACGCGTGACCCTGTCGTGGCACCGCAATTCGCGGGGGAGGGTGTGTGTCACCAAAATGGTAAACTTGTCAGACCAGCATTACTCCGGGCTTTCCTCCCACAAGACACGCCGTGTTGTGATAGAAGTATTATTCAAACCTCACGTACACATGTCCAAACGGGACAAATGTGTGACCGAAAGAGTTTTCCGGTTTAGACAGTGGCCCCGTTAGCCCGAAATAAGCAGCATTTACAAATATACTGAAATATTAGAATCGCAACGTGTGTGAAACACTCACTCACCTGTGTATCACAAGTGCCTTGTGTTCTGAAGGTTGACGTGATGCAGACAAGAGAGAAGAGTCAACCGAGTCGCAGTGACGTGGTTTGGTGAGTTGTGCACGTGCGAGTCAAGGATGTACATACCACACACCAGTAGATCTGATTACATACTTCTCTACCAAGGATGTCCAATTCTGAGAAGGCATATGACCGGATCCTGCTGTTCGCCTTAGATAACAAGAAGGTGTTTCATTATGCAGTGAACTAACACTATATCCAGTTCCGGAAACTGTTAGAGTTCTGTTATCGTATTGTATCATATATTAGAAGCAAAACAAATCCTATTCGAACCTTTGTATATTCGATTTGGACAAAAAAAACATACGACTGCAACCAGACGTTCAAGTGATGAACCAGGAACAGTCACACGATAATGCATTTACTGATTTTTTTTAAATTATTATTTTTTTTGTTAATTTTGAATTACGTCTGCTGTGTTCAAGTGAAGAGATTCTGCTGCTTATAGTTAAACAGGATCGCGTTGAAGAAATATGTTCGTTTTGCAACACAGCTGAGGAGGGGTGGGGGATGGGGTGGGGTGGGGTGGGGTGGGGTGGGATGGGGTGGGGTGGGATGGGGTGGGGTGGGGTGGGGTGGAATGGGGTTGGGGTCCGTTTCAATGTCTCTGCCCAAACATTTCTTTGAATGAAAACGTGTATGAATATACAGACCCAGGCAACTGATGAATCACTGATGCAGAATGCTAATTCTTCTCATTTAAGTATAACAGAAGAATGCCGATACTTCTTATTTAAGTATAACCCCGTTTTTGTCTGTGATATACTACTCAAAAGAAAGTAAGGTCCACCCGATTCTTTCATTATACAGATTAACTATAGTAATATGATAGAATCGGGTGGCCCTTAACTCCCTTTGAGTAGTATGTAACGACGGGCCAGTTCAATATGGAAAGAAATCCCAAAGTGACCTCGGTCGCATAGGTTTAACGCCTTGGTTAAATTCCCATGTATGACAGCTTATAAACATGGCGAACCTGGGAAAGGAAGCTACGACTAGCGGATCCTAGCCCCACTAAGGGAGGTAAGTCAGTATTTACTGTCGTATCGACAATATAACAGCCGTTTTGCTACATAAAAGCAACAAAATCCTGTACAATGTGCGCCCAGTCCCTACAACTGTCGATGAACTACGCACAGCTGCTCTGGATGTGTGCTTATAAACATGGCGAACCCGGGAAAGGAAGCTACGACTAGCGGATCCTGGCCCCACTAAGGGGGGTAAGTCAGTATTGACTGTCGTATCGACAATATAACAGCCGTTTTGCTACATAAAAGCAACAAAATCCTGTACAATGTGCGCCCAGTCCCTACAACTGTCGATAAACTACGCACAGCTGCTCTGAATGTGTGCAGGAGGATCCTAGGGCCTTCACAAATCGTCTGATCCACTCAATGTACAGGAGATGTGTGGCAGTGATCAATGCTAATGGTGGTCACACCAGGTATTGACTGACATTTTGGGTATTGACCCGAAACTGTGTAAGCCCTTAACATTTGAAGAAACCCAATTATGTCATCTGCCTTTTAATCCATTAAACTGTCTTCAGTCAATTTTTTGTCAATCTTGCCCTATTAGTATTTCTTGTCTTTACTGTTGAAAATAAATTACATGTATACTGCATACTCGACTTGCGTTTCTTTTGCGTGTGAGTATATTTGTTATTTAAAAAATGTGAATGATTCTCGGTGTGCCTTGTGCTAGGCATAAAGGTGCTAAAACAAGAACTCGTCTTACAACAACAGAGCTGTGGCTCAGCTTCCTCGGTGACGGAATATTCCAGTTTCATAACTGAACGACTCTGGTGTTTATCATTAACGTAATTCAAAGGTTCTCGTAACAGTGTCTTGTGT